TCAAATTGAAAAAAATATAAAACAACAAAGAAACAATTACTGATGAGAAAGGATACATCATCAGAGCTATTGAATAGATTTTTAAATATTATAGAAGGGATTTTATTATACAACTCTTACTAAACTTCTGAAAATATAAACAAGATACATATTTCCTTTCTTCAGGAAGGAAGTAGAAAGAAACCAAAGCAGCTGAAAAGTAGATACAGAAAAACCAATAATGATGCCAGAAGGGAGATGTTTAACCAGATGTGAAGGTTAGTGGACCTAGATGGTTCACATAACCAGATGTGAAGGTTAGTGGACCTAGATGGTTCACATTTCCCATGCTACTTAACAACTTCCAGGAGATATGCTGTTGTAGTCAGGGTTTGCAAGGGGAACAATATAATACAGGACATATGATTTACAGGATTATTTTACAATAGTCACCCAAAGAGTCACACACAAAGAGAGTGTGGCAATCTGTCTGTACACTAAAGACCAAAGAATCCAGCTGAGGGTAATGGCAATGTCAGTGTCCTTCAAGAGTCCATCCAGAGACTTAGAGCCCACCACAATGCCCCTTACAAGCCCAACTGGAGGGCAATGTACCATGCAAACCCACTTCACAGATCTGCACTGGCAAGGTCCCAATGTCAGTGGTGGAAGCTAGGAAGTCTGTGCCAGCGGGATGAAGGATCTGTGCCAGCAGGCTGAGGGATCTGCACTGGGGCCGGGAAGCAATGCTCAAAGAACCAGAAAAGTACCACAGCCATCCTCAGCGATGAGGTCCCAAGCTCCTCTGATGCTAAGAACAACCAAGTTCATATCAGGAAAGGCAGCAAGACAAGCTTCCCCAGGACAGTGAACAGTGCACCATACCCCCCTCCAGAGCCAGGAAGCGACGTTCAAAGTAAGGACCAGAGCTCCTCCAAAGTGAACTGGAGCCATTCTCAGCAATAAGGTTGCTGAGCTCCTTAAACAATGAGAACAGCCAAGTTCGTATCAGGGAAGTCAGCATGACAAGCTCCCCCAGGAAAACCAACAGCACCCAGAAGAACCAACAGCTCCCTAACAGCTTCCCCTCATCTCCAACTCTGCCTTGTATGCTGCCGGCAACAGTCCTCAGGTGGGGCTCCCACACCCAGCACCAATGCTGGTTCAGTTCAGATGGGCTTTACAAGTTGACCGCCAGTTGTTAATCCACCACATATGCAATTCCTTTTATTTCTCTAGCTTAATTCTGTTCCCCAAACCAAACGAAGTAATGAAAAACAAAAGCTCAAACTCACTTTTAAATATACGCAAAAAATCTGAATAAAATATTAACACGCAAACTCTAACATTAAAAGAATAACATGGTATGACTAAGTTCAATTTGCTACAAGGATGGAGTAGTTCAATGGGAGAAATTTTTTAATTTAATGCATCATATTTAGTTTCTTTCTTTAAAAATACATCTTAAGCTTTTGATATGTCAGTTGATGCACTGATGTTTGGGGACAATTAGAATGTTAGATATACACAGCTCCTCTCTTTGTGGAAGTTATAGTGTCACCAAGAAGACCAATAATTACATAGGAATGTGATGTCATATAGTGCTAATGTTCAGGAGCTATGGAAAAGTACACAGATACACACAAGGAGCATTTAACTGGGTCTTCTGCACCAGGGATAGGTTTGCAGAGTGAAAAATGAGATCAGAAAGAGTAGAACTGGGGAAAGAGATTTTTCCTAGGAAAGAGAGAAAAGAGGGGAGGTAGTTGTAGAGGAGAGACCCATGTATTGAAGAAATTAAAAGATACTTTTTAAAATATATGCTGTAGGTCCATCCACTGAAGAATGGATTAAAAAAATTGTGGTACTTTTATATAATGGAATATTACTCAGCTGTAAAGAAAGATAAACTCAAGGCTTTTACAGGTAAATGGTCACAACTAGAGACCATACTCATAAGTGAAACAAACCAGACCTCCACGTGTAAGCAACATATTATTTTATGTGTAAGAACCTGAAAGAGTGAATAAAAGCTAGCACGTATGATAGACATTGTGAAATGAAAGGAAAATGCTCAGCAAAGAGCAACTGGGGTGAGGGAAAAGAGAAAAGAAAGAAGGGGAAATTATGTATGCATGTATGTATATACAGGACAGCTAACATAGCTGTACTACTGACTTCTGTCGCTTTACTGAAAGGAACAGTTAATGATTACTTATTTGATCAGTCTTGCATGTCTCTATTTGTTTTCCTGAGAAACCACTTTGAAGATATCAATATGTAATACAACAACCATTGTTAATTTCTGACCACTTTGTCTGTAACTCTGTATTGTTCGTATTGTTCTTATGCTATTTTGTAAATGGATGTCTGTTTGTTAATGTTTTCCTTCTTTTATTTTTAAAATAAATTTAAAAAACATAAATATATGCTGTAGTGGGTTGAGTGGTTGTCCCTAGGAAAAACACTCACCAGGAACCTGTGGATGCTACCTTATTTAGAAAAATGGTTTTTTGCCAGACATGGTGGTCCATCCCTATAATTCCAGGACTTGGGAGGCTGAAGCAGGATTGCTGCAAATTTAAGGCCAACCTGGGATATATAGAGAGTTCAAGACCAGTCTGAACTACACAGCAAGACCCTATCAGAGAGAGAGAGAGAGACAGAGAGAGAAAGAGAGAGAGAGAGAGAGAGGAACCACTTCAGAAGATGAGACCACCTCAGACTGTCCACATGGGCTCTAAATCCAATAAATGTCATTTAAAAAAAAAAAAAAGAAGAAGGGAGAGGAAAAAGTGATGCAAAAACAGGCAGAGAGACATGGGAGTGGTGCAGCTACAAGCCAAGGAATACAGGATTGACAGACTACCCCAAAAGCTAGGAGAGGGGTTTGGGGTAGATTCTCCCCAGAAACTTCCAGAAGAAACCAGCATTACTGTTCCCTTCATTTTGGATTTCTGGTTTTCAGAAATATACAATAAATTCTGCTGTTTTAAGCCACCCCATATGTGCTAAGTTTTTATGTGGGCTTAGGAAACTATATACAGATGGAAAAAAGGCATTTGATAAACTGAGTACCCATTGCAAATTTAAAAAGAAAACAACTTAGTAAATTAGGGATAATGTAAAAATACCTATCAAAAAAACCCCACAATGCTACATTTAAAAAGAAAACAGAAATAAGGCAAAGAAAACCAAAACAAGTGTCCCTACATTATTTAATGTAAGTATGGATTTTCCTGTCAATGCCCTAAGAAAATAAAAGAGGACTAGTTTGGGGGAGAGTGATATAAAATGGTCATTTCATATGTTGTGACTGAAATGGAGAACAAAAAGAGTTAACTTTAAAAAATGGTAATTCATACCTCAGTAAGGCAAATTATTTAAAAATCAGTTATATTTCATGCCTATCCCATAATAATTAGTTAGAAAAATAATGAATTGAGAAAGATCCAATAGCTAATTCATTGAAAAAAATATTTGAATTTAGAAATAAACCTTTAAATTAAAGTGCTAACCCTAATGATGAAAATCCTATCAATATAGTCACATCTTCCTTTGCAGATTTTGTAGATAATTCTTCAGTCTTCTTATCCTGGTGTGTTCTTCATAAAGAGTTGCGCATTTTATCTCTGTATCCATAATACAAAGCCTAATATATAGCACGCGCTCAAAGATTTGCTGACCAAACAAATACATTAGAAAAATAGAAGTATACAAAGCAGTAAATTTGCATTTTCTGATAACACCACTGGAGGGAACCAAATCCCCACCAAAGTAGCTCTAGGTTTTTTTTTTTTTTTTTATGACAGGGCTGTTGGCAATCTGAGAAGCCTTCCAGGAAGCATTATCAAGCTCACTTCAGAGGGACTGAATTTAAACCACTGCAAACATGTTTATTTAGGTTTGCTCGATCCCTCCATGTCCCACCTCAATGTACGCTGTATCTGCTCTATCCATTTTGGCACTTCGCAGAAGCAGTTTTACCCGTTTCGTTATCAAATTACATCCCACGTCTACATCTTGCCTGCAGGACAAGATAATATGTTTATGCATACGCTCATTTCTCTCTCACTTGCCAGATCAGCTCCAATCTTTAAATTGTGCGAAGATACTTATTTAGGTGAGGGCTGGAGGGGTAGCTAGCTCAGCGGTACAGTGAGGCCCTGGTTTCCATGGAAGTGGGGAGTAATTGAATTGAATTAAAAGACTAACATTCTCCCTTGAATCCTGCGCCACTACAGGAGAATCTTTAGGCAAAGTTCCAGTCTTACGAAAAAAGAATTACGTGATGATTAGAAGAGCACTGTCAGATTATTGAGGGTATCAACACCGCCACAGTAAGAAGTCTGGCCTGAGACACTAGAATCATGATCTAGAATTAAAGCAGCAGCTGCTTTTAAAGGGAGGGCATGATTTAAGGAGCGAGGGACTGTTGCTGATAACAGTGGAGGATGAGGCAAGTGGGTTCCCAGGGTGGGGATGCTTCCAGAGGAACATGTGACTACACTGTCTGCTGCAGTGATCGACTTCACTGCAGAGCTGCTGCGCTCTGAGTGCTGCTGTGGTCCACAGAGACCAAGCAGAAAGGCACGGCGGGCAGTAGCTCTTCCCCAGGTCTCCAGCACTGCCCCAGGGACATGTAGGGGCTGCCAGGGCTCAAATCCCAGTGCATCCATTTACTAATTTGTGTGACCTTGAGTGAGTTACTTGACTTCCCAATGCCTCTGATGCCTTGTGTGAAATAAGGGGATGAAAATCAGAACCTACTTCATAGGATTCCCATGAGAATTAAATGAGACACCTTTAAAAAGTGCTCAGAATAATACCCTAATAGTACATAATAAATGCTCAAAATACTACAGAGTAAATGCTTGTGTTACTCATAAATTCACTCAGCAAATTATGTAGAAAATTTCAACAGCCTCCACTGGTACAGAATGAGACCTGGGTAGGAGTGGGCTGTTGTTATTTTATGAGAGAAGGACCCTGCAGTTATAAGTTTTTGTAACCCCGGAATGATGTATTTCTATCCCAAAGCCAAGATACTTTCCAGTTCCTGTGCTGTGATTCTGCATTCAGTAAGTAAGCTTCTGTTAGTAACAGCATTTGTGTAAACATTCTGTGCAGGAGAAAACTGGCCAGCGGGTTTTGATACAGCCGACAGGCTACACTTTACTAACTTAGGACACAACATAAGGTCATATTTTGCTGAAGTTCAATTTGGAGAGATTTTAAGCCCCTTCCTGACCAAATTGAATCCCTTCTCGACCAGGTATTAGGACTTCCCAGGGGTTCTTTCCCCATGAATATTGTGGCGGAGACAGGGTTTGCTGGAGTCAATGAACAGGAATTTATGAAGCACTTGTTGTGTATCAGGCACAGCTAAGGCACTACGGGCAAGCAGCGAATAAACCCTATCCCGCAGTAACAAGGCAGCGAGCTCAAGAATTCCCGAGATGGACGCTGATAAGCACTAAGAAGTACTTGGAAGAAAACAGAGCAACAAGGGAGAGGAACCTGTGGGCAGGTGGGGAAAGGTGAATGCACTTTTAGGCAGAGAAGCCAGGAATAGCAGAAGCAGGACACGAGGCTGGAGCCCCACTTCTAGGTCTTTTCCTTCCCATTCTCTTTGCCCTCCCCCTTTGAATTGGGCTCAGCGGTCATAGGGCCCCTCCCCAATCTTCTTTTCACCCACAGGCAGAAAGAGCTTCCTGACCCCAGTAGGCCACCTGCAAATCAAGCTGCCCAATATGGCTCTATTTCCCAGGGCCTGGGGTCTTCAAGAAGATTCTGATCCAGAGGCCAACAAACTTTCTCTGCAAAGGCCCAGATAAAAAGTATTTTAGGTTTGCGAACCACGTAAGTCCCTGCCACATGTGTTTTGTTTTTGTTTTACAGTACATTAAAAATGTTTTTAATGTTTTAACCAGGCCTCAGGTCGTAGTTTGACAATCCCTTTCCCAATGCATTTATAGGTTTCTTAGATTAAAAACAATAAATTGTTCTCATTAGTATTTCATCACTTTAATTCATTCGTATTTCATTAGTTTATTCTTGGCAGTTAATTTATCATCCACAGGATGCAACCATCTGTGGCAATTTGTAAGAGCCAGCACATAGTAAGCACTCAATTTGTTGCAGGGTAGGAAAGCTCTATTTTTTGAACAGCAGGCTGTCTTTCCACAGTTCCTCCTCTTCAGGTGGGAATTATCTTCCAGGAAAGGAAAGCCACGGCAGAACCTTGGCTGTGGAGGGTGATGGTCCACAGTGCGGCTGGGAATGAGACAGCAACGCTGCTCTGAAGGAGATGCTGATGAGCAAGGAAAGAGGAGGAAGCAGTAGGTGGGAGGAGGAACAGGGGAAACGGTGGGCGGCATGTAAGGTTACCGATGCCCATAGGGAAGGTAGACAGGGACACAGACCTGTGGCGGAGTGGATAAAGCCTTTTGTAAATCAACAAAATGGCTAATATTCCATTTTAAATTATTGGTATAGCTAAAATATAAGCCCTTTCCATCTCAATCTCCAGTCTGTGGCCCTTCCTTTTTCTTCACAAGTAAGAGGATGGCTAACTTCCAAGAAACAGGATTTACTGCAAGATAGGGAGCAGATCACAGAAGCAAAGAACCCTTTGAAGAGGGAGGCTCTGGAAGGCAGTGCTGGCCGCCCGGCTTATCTGCCACTCCTGAGGTCAACAGGCAGCATTCTTCCCTGGGAAGGGGTCCAGGAAGACAACTTGTGCCTGGCCTCAGTTGGGAAGACACCTTAACAGCACCCTGGCATCCATTTCTATTAGGGGAGCACAGCTCCCCAAAGCAACTGGGGTATATGACCAGGAAGAGGGTGCCCAGAGGACAGGAAAAGCAACAGACACCCACTGCATGCTGTATACCCACATCGCCTGTGAATCGTACTAGAGGAATGAGACAGGGGATGAGGAACCACATCCTGTCACATTCAGAAGGAAGAGAGCAGGCAGAGAAGGTGATTGCTCAGTGGAGAACAGACTCAGAGCTACGGGTGATGCTGAGAAATGAGTCCCTAGAAACCCCCAGAAGGAATTTCCCAACACACTGGAAGAAACTTGAACAACATTAAAATTTAGACCGCATGTCATTTCCCTACACATGTAACCCTACTAAATCTACAAGATAAAGGATCAGACCCATGGTCAGCACCTCCGACATAACCTGAGCATCCAGTCAGCCCCTCCCATAGAAGTGTAGCACTGATCCCATTGTCTAATAACCCCTAACCTAGACAGACTTTCAGTATGGGATCTGGGATTTGGAATTATGCGTCTATGACATTTTCCATGCATTCACTTTATTTACCTGCCCATCAGGCGCTAGGCTTGGTTCTTAGCTGTGTTCCCTGCACAGCAACAGTATCAGCCGGGAACTTGCTAAGAATACGAATTCTAATATCCCATCCCCAACACACCACTGCAGAAACTCAGGGTGGGGAGGGGGTGGTAGGTGGCAAGCAGTCAGGAGTTAAACAAGGCCCCCCAAGGGCTTCTCATTCAGACTCAATTTTCAGCATCCTATTCTAAGAGATGCACCTGGAGTCACAGATGGTTACTAACGTGAAGAGCAATTGGATTCCACTCCACTTCTCTGTTTGGTCTCAGGCAAATCTCTCTACTGAAATTTAGACCATTTCTTTCCTTTAGTACCAGGTAGTAACATTTCCATGAACCATGCCTCTGTGCCCCAGAGGAGTAGATTTCCACAGTCTACCCTAGAATTATGTCACGGTCGCAAAGACTGAATTTTCCTTTTTCTCTCAGTCAATCTCGGCTATCGTTTGATGCTGGTCTTCCCTCATTATTTCCTCTGAGATTGTGAGGGTTGTTGCCAATGTCCAATCTCTTCCTCCAGCACTCTTGCCAGTAACTTTAATGCCTCTATCCCTACTGCAGTAAGACACTCCTTTGTTTTTTACTGGTACTGGGGACTGAACCCAGGGCTTTCATACTGAGTTATAGTCCTAACCCTTTTTCTTATTTTTTAAATTTTGAGACAGCGTCTCGCTAAGTTGCTCAGATGGGACTCAAACTTGCGAACCTCCTGCTGCAGCCTCCCTCAGTGCTAGGATTACAGGAGTGCACCAATTAGGATACCTCTAAAATTCTAGGGCTTCTAGGTAATTCAGAGGACAGAGAGTAATCTAACTCACAAAGCCTGGGAACACTCTCTGGCCTCATGATGCTCCCCAGCATCCTGGGAGAAGCAATATGCCACCTGGAGCTTAGTTCAAAGGAGTACACGTTGACCGTGGCTTATGCGATGCCAGAGCCAATTATTCCATTGCAGTGTTTTCTCAATTTTCCCCTATTTCACCCCATTCTCAGTGCCATAACAACCCAATCCCAGGAGAAGCTAGGAAAGGGTTATTAGAAGAGACAGACAGTAAGCTTTCCAGTGGGAGGTCAAAGACTCATAGTTGTTTGTCCTCCAGAGGAAGCCATAGTTGTGTTCCTTCTCGTTGGGTCTGGTGCCTCGCGACATACAGCACTTTGCCACAGTCACCTACATGATTCCAGGCCAGTCTGTGCCTTCCTAACATCTTGAGATGTCCCACAACATCAATAACGGAACCAAGTACTGCAATCACACAAGCTGTGGTGACTAAGGATGGCAGACACGAGTCTCAGAAAAAGGGGTGATGCATTACGAATAGGCAGTCCAGTTTTGGGAATCAAGAAATATAGCCTGTTCAAAGGCTGGACAGCAAAAGAAGTGTCATCCAAAGACTGTTTAAAGGCAGGCTTTTCACGCCCAGCCTGAACACCCGGTGTTATGTCCTCCTATGTGACGTGGGTCTGTTCTGCTTCAGGACTGCTGTCTGTCCTCCATGCACAAGGGACAGCACTGACTCTGTGAGCTCTGGGCCCTTCTGCTCTTTTTTATAGTTTTAAAACAAAATTGAAATCATACAATAATTATAGTACATAGTTTATGTGTTCACTTCATAATTCATAACACTTTCAGGTCATTGTAGCTCTTTCTACATTAGCAATTTCTTGACGGTGTAGAATTTCATTATAAGTAAATCTGCATCAGAATATAACTAACCACAAAATAAACAACCTTGTGGACTGGGAAGATAGCTCAGTGGCACAGTGCCTGCCTGGGGAGTGCAAGGTCCTGAGTTCAACTTATATAAATAACCTCCAGAAATGTTTATGTTCTAGACTCTATTGCCTTCTTACTTCAGTCTACCATTTAGAAATAGTCTGTTTCTAAATATTAATAATTTCCTCTGTTCCATTTGCGATTCAGATACTGAATTCTTTTTTTTATCATTTTAATACAGTATTAGTACCTGTGGATAGATTCTTTTTCATTACATGTGTCTTTGATACTTTGGCCAAATCTTTACTTTCTAATTTTCTCTGTCAATTCCATGAACAGCTTATGGCTGAATTTCTTTTTTTTTTTTTTAATTCAACCTGGGAATCTTGTGCCTTTTAATAGATATTTTTAGGACATTCACAGATTTCATGAGAAAAGTTATATTTGATCTTTGTTCTGCCTATTTATTTTATGGTTTCTATTTTTAATACTTGCTTCTTGCTTAGTTTAATAATCAAATTTACTTTTTTCTCCATTCACGATTTGAAAATTATTTACATCTTGTTTTCTATTTGAACTTAACTTAAAAATGTATTCATATATTTGAACTATCCCTCTATTTCATTAATTTAAAAACCATACAAGTAAAACATAATATTTTACATTTTAAAAGTTCAAATGTATGTGTACTAATTCCACACAAGGAATGTAAACATTATGTACCACAAACATGTACAAGTGAAAATAGATTTTTTTAGAAGTTCAAATAAGCCAAAGAACATACAGTGAAAAAATGTAAGTTTCTTTCATAACCCCCAATCTTACCACTTGAAGCCCCAACAGAGAACTACCTCAACTTTGATGTGCACTTAGTCAAATCTTTACTGTGCGTGTGTGTGCATGTGTGCACACATACACATGCACACATGCACATACAAGTTTGCAGATATTTAAAAAACATAAATAGGATAAATATGCATGTATTTCCACTACTGTATTTGCTCATTTCACTTAATAATAGACTTCACTCTAAGTAAATGGATACAGTACTACATCAGTCCTTACATGTGTGTCCTTTGTACTTTTTGTTTAAAAAAAATAAAAGAAGGAAAACATATTAACAGACAGACATCCATTTACAAAACAGCATAAGAACAATACAAACAAAACAGAGTTACAGACAAAGTTATAGGAAATTAACCATGGCTGTTGTATTACTTATTGATATCCATGATAAGGATTTATCAGTCCATGATATGGATTTATCTAATTTATGTAAACACTTTTCTGCTGATGTTTAATTTGATATCTATTTTTCACTACAATGTTCTAATAAAAAATCTTACATACATATTTTTAAACCTGTGCAAATATTTTAATACCTAGATACGAAATTACTGAGTCAAAAGTATGCACATTTAATTTTTTGATAGCCACTACCAAATTT